GCTCGTCCTCGTCAACCAAATCCGGTTCGCCCGACCAATATCCGGGGCCATATTTTTTGAGGTTGCACCACAGCCTTAGGGTACAAAAGTAGATAACCTCAATAAAGGAGGTGATTGAGATTCCTATGAATAATCCCAGCAATCCTCCGATGCTTGAAAGAAAATCGACGAAACCGTACAGCTCGTTTCGCTCGGATGCCAGAAATTGCATGTCTTTAAAGAATATGGACAGTCGCGCTAAGTACAATCTGTAAATCTAAACGGTTAGGTAGAACGTAATTGTATTGCGGGTCATACTTCTCAAACTCCATAGTGTAATTTTTATGAGACACTGCACGCATTGCATTAATTGCTCTATGCCAGTCCCAGTCGATAATAGAGAGTTCTATGTCGTATTCCAGCGATGTGCAAGATGGAAGACAGAAGCACGCCTCCTGGTCGTGCTTGAGATAGTCGACTTAAAAAACTGTTAGGGCTTGACCTCCAAGACTTGTTTAGGCGATACTTACTTTTACTTTGATAAAGGCAGGGTAGGTTACCAGGTCCGCATATAGGCGTGTCTCTATCCTCTACAAAAAAATATTGGAATAACCAACTGTTGCGTAATAATTCTCGTTACTTGGCATGTAAAATCCCAAACAACCGCACGTTCTCAGCGTGTAGTTCGATAGGCATTCTTGAAGGCAGTTGGTCTGGGTGTATTTTCGGAAGTATGTCAACTGCCTTTCCTCGGTGAAGTAGCATTTCCTACGCTTTGGGTCGTAATCTCTCAGTGTAGGTGAGACACCTGTTACCCTTGGCTTGATACCCACATCGACCGCGCTATTTAGTGGTACTCGAAAGTGTCTATCGAGATTAGGCCATTCCGCTGGATGGTGAAGCACGACCTACTCAAATTTACAGTCTCTTGTAAAATTAATGGTCCTAGGATAGCAAAACTTTAGCTTTAGGCGAACAATACAGCAGAATCTTCCTAACTTCGGTAAAGTTCGATTTCCATATGTGAGCTTAGAGTCTTTAAAACTAAACACTTCTGGCCTTCCAACCAAGAACAAATTAAATGAGTGGAAATGTGATCTTGTTTTGTAGTATATCAGATCAGCTCGTTGTAATATGGGATAGATGCCGAACTTTAGCAAAGTCATAGAAGTCGGTTCCCTATACTGCAGGGCCATTAATTCTACGAAAGGCTGCAGACGCGGTACCTTATATCCCTGCAGTGATTCCTGGCATAAATAGTCTAGGTCCTTCCTTTTCGTTGTCATTGCATCAAATACGAATCCCCCCAGCGCACCAGATACAAATGTTCTCATGGGATAACTGTCATCTATATCAGATGTAGAATAACCCTTGTCTAGTGACCATTCTCGAACGTTATGCGATTTTCTATCAGTTGGTATTGTGTATTCTCTACATATATAGTGAATTTGACATGCCATCCTCGCCCCCACCGCTACTTACTCAGGATTTTTAATTATATCTCCTGCATCCAGCATATTAAAGGAATAGCAGATACCTTCACTGGTGAAAGTGTAAGAGAAATACTCGTTAGGATCTAAAATTTTTCCTCGCCATTTCAGTTCAGATATATTTTCAGAGTCGAGCTCGGGAAACACCTAAAACAACAAAAGTGAAGGCCGGTCCCCTACTCACTGATGTACATTTAGTAGCATAGCAACTGCCGTGTCATTTACAAAAAGGTCGTCATCGGTTTCACTCGCCGGTAAGTCTATTGAACATATCAACGAAAGGCTTCTCCACGCTTCTTCGCTAATTAACTAACGTTACTCCAATTGCTTTCAAAAATGTTTCAAGCACTTACTCAAATGGTGGCAGCTCAGTTCCGAGTATTTTTTTGAGGTACGCGTCTGTAAAGTTAAACGTCTCCACGTTGGATTTGACTACCGGGCAGATTGTGACGGCGGGAAAAGGAATTTCACTTATCGAATTTTCGGAGGTTGCAAAAGATACGATCACAGGCGAGGTTACCCATTTTCTATACGTTTTCAATACCAGGATTGTGCTGCAGGTGGCTACTGTGAGAATGATTAAGAACCAAACAATTCTGAAAGAAAATTGTTGGAGCACTTTTTCAATTTACGGTGAGTAGCTTGAGGAGAGCTTTCCCTTTCACTTTTTTTCCGACTGGTGACAACTGTGCCATTTTCTGGTGGTAGATTAAAAAACTAATTTTTATTTCACATGCCAATTTTTAGAATGAGGTTCATTATACCAACTTTAAGGACGTGACCCTTTTTCGATTTTTTCGGTAATTTAAATAGACCAAAATTTGCACTTGTCTTGCTAATGGAGAAATAGTTGGACAAATACAAAAATCCGTCTAAATGCGTCGAAATTTTTTAAGAGATGCTAAGAAATCCAACATTTGATCTTGCGTACTGCTCATATGGTTATAGATGTACAGGGTGTCCTATTAATATAGTTCACAGGCCATATATGTATGGAGCCGGCAACTGAATAGCTTGGGGAAAAAGATTTTGTTAATAAGAGAGACCAAGAGAAATCAACCTGCATAAAAATGCATGCATCGCAATCTTGTATGAATTTTGCATCATAAAATATCAGGGGTGGAGTCTCTTTAAAGCAATGAAAATAACTTCGATTTAGGTTAACCGATTTTCACATGATTGGTCTCTCTTCGTCAAATTGTCCATAGATAGTCTTTATAGTAAATGTGAGTAGTGGTAGAGGACACGGCTTGACATTAACATAAACTTGACAGGTTTTCTTGACGACCATAAAATATTTATAGGTCTGGTTTAAATTAGCACCCCTGAATCGCCACCCCAATTAGTTACCGCGCCAAAATATTGTACTCATTTTATGCTAATTTGTGTGCCGATCTCCAAATTTTATGCTCCTCTCGTTTACGATAAAATCAGTTGTTTTAACACCATCATTCTCGTATCCAAATGGCACTAATTCTATCGTTTGGAGCTTTTTTGTGCTGATTTGTGTAATTTCGGAGTAATTCAAAATTTCTAAAGGGGATGCCAACTTAGCCCTCACAATCGGAGTGACTTGAAACGTATGTCATAGTTCTGTGTCTATTTTGTGCACCGTTACAATGCTAGACACCACCATGCTCGTATCGACGTGACACTAATGCTATAGTTTTGTGCTTATTTTGCGCCGATTTGTGCCAGTATCCAGGTTTTTTGCGCCGGTCGCTGCGAAGAAAATTAAAATTTCGATTACTTTATTTTGTTATTCTAGTCCAACTTTGGTTCAAATACTTGAACTACAGTATTCAAACATTTAGATACTTCTATATATGAATTTGAAGCTTTAAGCCCACAGGTAAATGCATTTTGTGGAGATCTATCCACATTTGAAATGTTAGCGCCCACCGACAGAGTCATCTTGGCGAGATATACCATTTTCCCCTTGCGAGTACCTTTTTCCAACATTACGTCCGCGAGATATATCCAAATTTAAAATTTTAACCTTCCATCCCACAATGTTGTCGACGGTCAACATATTGTAGCGAACATTCCAGAAATCTCGATAGACACCGAGGCGCCATGAAAGATTAGTAATTGGCGGTAAGGCGGATATGACGTAATCTTGTTTGTTCGAGAACCTGCTAAAATAGTCGGTTGCGTTCACATTCTCATTCGGAAATTCGGCTCATATTGAATAATACTGATCCTTGAACTCGTCGAAATCGATTGATCAAGGTTTAACTTTTGACATCGCTGTCTCTTTTCGTTCTCGACTTAGACGAGGAACAAACGGAAAGGCGGATGATCAAAACGATCACATAAGAGGATTTTTATCTTTCGAAAAATTTCCCAAAAAATTTGCCTGAATACACCCAAGTTAAAAAATAAGGCAGTTTTCGCTGTCTGTAGTTAAAAAATCCAAAATTTACTCTTGACCATTGCTAATATGGCAATACGTGGAGGTTTATAAAAAGTATGTCTTAATATACCGAATTTTTAGGAATGAGACAATTTTTCACTCACTTCCGTAACTAGTAATCCAAAATGTCTTCTGATCATATGGCAATAGATGCACGTATAAGAAAAAATAATATACCTACCGAATCTTTAGGAATGGACTTTTATAAGGAATTATTTCCAGAACATTGTTTTTATTAGGAAAATAAGTTTATATATAATAATCTTTTTGTTTTATGTTTGTGTTCAATATTCCATTTTGGTAATCAATTATTTACGCGGTTTTAATCCCCATAGTTCAGTCATAACTATAGTAAATCATTAAACTCTTTATTTCTTGGCGAATGAGCTCAATTATTTTATTTTATTTTGTAGCAAGTGTTAAATTGACATTGTAATATGTTTGAATGAATAGGCTCTTTAACCGTGAGGGTAGATAAAGTGAAACAGCTGATTATAAATTCTAATGGCATCTGTCATTCTTACTTCAAATGGAACGCGGAGCACCATATTAAATGACGTTAAGAACATAATGACAATGCTGATTCTATGGAAAGGAACACGACAGCAGAAACTAAGCTTGCTATTTTTGACGTCTGAATTAAATTCAGAACTTTCAGAAGCTTTACAATGATTTATCTGTCTTTTGCTATAAAATAAAGTTTTATATTATACACGACGATAAAGGAAAACTAACCATCTCGCGAATTAACCTCATTCACTCAAGGGTTAAAATATCCCTTTATCGTCTTATATAATAAGTAACTATTATTTTGGTCAGTCGAGAAAATGGCACAAGCGGTCCTTAAGCTACTAAAGTGTATTACTTTTCAATCGCATATCGACCACGCTCGCCTAAATACTGCATTCCATGGATGCTTGTCGCTCCGCAGTATTGGGAGAAGTAAAATTTGGCATTTCTAGCATGTCTCCTGCGAGGATTTGGCGCGATTTGGTCCACGCTGACATTTCTGTGGGTTGCCAGGTCCCCCATCTCAGTGACCGATCTGCAAAATATCATTTAATTAGACAGAAAAAGTTTCCAAGTGATCAGGGTTGGAAATAATACGAAATCGGTTGCGGGTAGTGTTTATTGCAGGAAAATGTGACACAATATTGTGATCTTAATCTAAGTAGCCGGTTCCCCCGACCACGCGTTTTGCCCGTACTTTCTGATGTTACCCCAAATTCGAAGGGTGCAAAAGTACACAATTTCAATTGCAGAGACGACGGAGAAGCCTATAAATAACCCCGTGAGCCCGCCCATATTTGAAAAGAAGTCGACGAGGCCGTACAGCTCATTTCTCACGCAAGTCATGAACTGCAGGTCTTTGTAGTAAACTGTCAATTTTGAAAAGTGTGCCCTGAAATAAAGGTGAAGTTAGTCGCCCGCTGGTCTTAAGCAGCTCTACCGTTTTGGGTCCAAATCAGTCCTTATCCTGTTCAGCCCTTTGACATGGTTTAAGATGTTCAATACGTTATGCCAACTCCAATCTGTTTGGGAGGTTTCAACTTCATACGACAAAGAAGTGCATAGAGGTAAACAGTCGCACTGTTCGCTTTCTTTACCATTGCTACTTTCGATTTCCAAGTATTTTACTAAAAAGCATATAATTCAAATTCTTGCCAATGAGCACGAAAAGGCTTACATTTGCTTTGCCTCACGCACTCATTGTTGGCAGGTCCACAAATGGTAATCTTTTCCTCTGGCGCTAAAAATCCAACGGCTTAGAAACAACCTGGTGGTGATCACACTTACAGGCGTAATAAAATGGAATGCATTTACACTGAGCGAAAGTGTAATTGGCCACGCACTCCTGAAGACAATTCTGCTGCGTGTACATCTTGTAACTCTCCAAATATCTCTCATTTGCAAAATAACACCTCCTATCCTTGGGGGAGTAGTTCCACAATTGCGGCGACACCGTGATCATTTGCGGCTTAATTGCAACCACCACCGCCTGGTTTAAAGGTAGTCGAAAATGCCTGTCCATGCTAGGGAATTCGCTGGGATGGTGTAGGGCTACCTGTAAAACATAGGGGATTGGGTTGATCTATAGAAATCAGACACGCACTTTGAATCCCTGCAAAGATTCTCCGCAAAGGTAGTCCAGGTGGCTGTTGTTGACGTAGATGTTGTCAATGGTTAAACCACCATCGAGTCCTGGCATAAAGGTTCTCCTTGGAAATGCGTCGAAGGTTTCGCCTGGAGGATAACCTTCTTCGAGCGACCACTTTCGACTTTTATTTTTGGGTTTCATTGAGTTGTTAAAGTTGTCACTGTAAGATGGAGCTTAGCAAATCATAGTGCTACAACCAAAGAATCGGTGCTAACACGGACGAGGGGGGAGGTGTCCACCTATCAAACTGCATACACTGCAACTTCCCACTCTTAATGTCAACATTGAAATTAAAATATTCTATCTGCACGTTTCGCTAACAGATTTAAGAGAATCTTCAAGTGTGCGTGAGAATTTCTGTAAAAATGTGCACCCTAACATTTTATTTATTTGTCATCCAATTTCCAAAAAAACTCGTACTATAAAATATCCTCCTTAAAATTTTATATATTACATGACAGGTTCCTTCAAATGTTCTTTAGAGATTATTCAGAATCCCACAAAGTCTCTATGATTTTATTCTCAATAATTCTTCATAGATACTTTAAAGGGTCCTAATAAGATTCGCTTTTCAACCTGCTTCATAGATTTTCCCAAGATTCATAGAGGTCTAAGCAATTTTTGAAAAATTTGTCTCACATGAATTCACAAAAACTTTGTGAAGAATATTATTGACAGAATTTTGAAAAATATTCCAAATTCTCTGAGTGGGTCTCTGGGAATCTCTTTGAATAATCCATTGACATACTAGATAAATATTTGAAAAATCCTTCATCAGTTTTCCAAAAGGCTCTGGAGAAGTTATGAATTCAGAAAAATTTCCATTTAAATCATTTTAAAATTCACCCTTGCTTATTTAGTTTCTATTTTGTCTCTTGAGTTTCTTACAAGTTACAAATATATTTTTTAAATACAGGTCAAAGTGATGATTACCTGTATCTAAGAATCTCTTCATAAGGTAGCATATTGAATGTATAACAAAAGCCCTCAGATGTGACACTTATTCCTAGAGACTCGTTTAAGTTCAATGATTTTCCTATCCACTTAACAGTTGTCATTCCCAGCACGTCAAAATAAGGCAGCATCTACAATAAACTCGGATCCTCACATTACAAAACTTTCCCTCTACTTACCTCATCACCTAATTTATCGATCGCTTCTGGAGAACAGGTTGTATTCCATAGTGTCGTATTAAACAAGTCAATGTAGTCCATCGCACTGCTGCAAACCAAATAGGACAGTTGCAGGTACTCTTTACTGAAATAACCCCAATTAACCTAAATGAGGGCTAATTGCCGACAACTACTCTTGCTTGTTCAGCTTCAAGCCGCTCTGCTCCATCAGCATCGCGTGGGTAAAGTTGAAGACTTCCGGATCGAATTTCGCCTCGGGGCAAAGCGTGACGGCCGGAAATGGTATTTGCGAAATGGGCGTCTCTTGACTGGCGAAAGTTACGATCACCGGCGAGAGTTGCCATTTTTGATAAGTCTTGTGTATCAGCATAATGCAAAACACGCAAACGACGAAGACTACCGCAGTCCATGCTAACTTTTCCAAAACGTGACGGCCTCGCTCTCCTACGTATTTAACTCCATGAACTGTGGTCGACTCACAGTAGTGGATGCAGTATCGTTTCAAATGCGTAAAAAAATCGGGTTTTGGTGGACTAATTTCACTCGACACTGGCGACACACTAATTAAATTACGTTTGTAACTACCATTGGCTTCTTTTTCCTTTTGCGTCATTTTATAATCAGTTGTGTCAGTCGCTGGGCTAAAATTTTACTACAAAGGAGCAATTCAAGGGATTAAAACTGCAGCACTGATTCAAGAAGCAATGGAAATTAAACAAGTATTTACTCACTTTACATTGTGTTTCATTACTAACAACTGTGACACACTAGACACACAAACCAGTGGTTTCGATTGTGATGATTGTGCGAAAAAAAACAAACTTTTGACTAAGATAAACATGCACATATGAATATAACGATATTTTTTATAAAATTGATTCTAATTCTTTGGTAGCAACATTCATATAGAAAATCATAGGTTTTAGGTAAGAAGATCCATCCCTCATCAGAAGATTTCATAAAGATTTTTATTATTTGGGATGTTTCTTGAGGTATGGGACAGGATTGAGCTCAAACTGTTTAATTTTTATAGAATCAATAGCAAACCAAAGTTTTAGGTTTCAAACAGAAATATTGAAGCTTAGAAAACCTGTAAATTATAAATTTCATCTAAACTGAATTTGAAGATTAAAATTTCGGGCCTGACTTACAAATAAGATGTAGTTCTCCATTTTTGGGGAAACGTTATGCGTATGAAATATTAAGGCAGAAAGGTTTGGACTATGCACTTTGGCAACAGAAACTAGATAACCGATGGAAATTACTCCAAAACAGGTTCCCGTTCCCAACTCCAACCGAATCCCGTTAAAGTGCAAGTGAAATAAAAATGCAGACTGTTTGGGGAATTAAAAAGTGTCCATTTGTCCTGCTTGGATAACCGTTGAAGACGAAATTAGCCATGTATCGCCCTCATGCGCTATTTTAGCCATCAACTAAACCATAAGGGCCACGGAAAATATTTATATCAAGAAATGCAAATTTTCCCTTAGTTTTCATATATTATGTTAGGGCAGACGTTTTCAAGTGCAGCGTTTGGGCAGACGCCCCCTTCAATGTAGGGAAAAACACCCCTGAAATTTCTAGAATGAAATTGCAAGCCGTAGGCCTCGATTTTTACTCAGAAGAACTTTAACGAGAAAGCTCAATAGCTTTCAATTTAGAATTGATCAATAGCGGTAATTATTTTTACATCTCACACCTCAAATTTCAGCAACCAAATTTAATTCGCTTGGATTCCAATTTCCATTGTCATTGTTTAAAATAAGTCCTAAATCTAATAGTATAGCTCAAGATTTTAAATTGAAAACGGACATTTATTTTGTTCCATTTTTGAGGGTTCTGACACACACACAAATACCTAAAATACCTGACATACTTGAAAAGTTTTTTAACTTTCAATTTCCATCTGAAATTGGAATGCTCGGTTTCATATTTACATAGATAATTTTAGACTTATCTGCTATTTTAAATCCCAATTTGCATTTTTCACTTACGTTAAAGTAGACAGTTATGATGCTCAGTATTTTGACATTTAATGCCCCACTTTAAATGTGACTGTTTATAAATTAAGATCTAAAGCGCTTTATTTAGTCGATGAATAAAATAGTTAAAGGCTTCAGATTGGCCAAACACTGAATAATAGGACACAAAACCAGAGGTAACAGCTGTATTACCAAACGTACGCGTTTCGATAGCACAATTACCCTCATCAGTTCAGTTTTCCTATGAACACGTGGAGACGTGGAGTAAAGCCGCTGACGCTGACATCGTACCAAAAACCAATTTACCGGAGACTTACCTCCTACGCGCATTTCAAATTAGAACGAAAATCACCATTTAACCGAAATGAAAGAATTTAAATACCACTCAGTGAAATTAATAATTTGTCGTGACAATTTTGACTTACGTTTCGCTAATGGTTCACTTTTGATTAGATGCACAAATCGTACAGGTTCGCTTTCGCAGATATTGCGCAACTGAACGGAATCTCCGAGCTTTTCTAACAATTGCTATAAATATCCCGACTAGCAATTTATTTAATGTAATAAGCCAGCAATTTAAAGATAAATTTTGTTGTTTTTTTATTATAGATTTTATTGGTAATGGATACCGCGTCAGGACCAAAAGCGAAGTCGCGTGTTTGGAAAGTAGCTTTCTGATACTCTAGCTCGCACACCTAGCTTTATCATACTGTAAATTAATTAATGTAATTAATGCCTCGCCTTAGCTGGTACTAAGCTGAAGTATCGATTAAGGATAACGTACCACACTCCAAGTCGTAGATATTCTACTCAGAAGCGTTCTTCGTTCAAAACTGATGCAATTCATTTACAATTACACATTTTTTTAAGTACTTTTGGTTCATTAGACTATTAAACTATGACTCATGGGACAAATTAAAGCTTTTGGACAAGAATGGATTAAGAAATAATGAATCTAAAGTCGCCACAAGTCGAGGAAGACGTAGAGTGTAAGTGGAACAGAATTAAGGCGGAAATAATCAAAGCGGGAATCAAAGGGAATAAGGTCAAAGAAACCTTTGATAAATCAGGAAATCAGTCTGTAAGTGGTGTAGTTCCGGAGCCTTTGTGACTCAGACAGACAGACACATACAGACATCAAGAGCGAAAAAGTGCACTTTTTATTTTTTTAAAGTGAAAGTGCACTAAAAGCAATAATACCGAAGGAGGAAGAAGACAATATCGGAGGCTAAATATGGAGTTGAGAAAAGAAACCGATGAAGCTCGGAAAAGATGGAAAATCAATGTAATGAAAGAGAAAAGCTTGATAGGCTGGAAAGACACGATATTATTTACAACAGGATAACAATTTACCTGGGATAGATTATCAAGAGTGTTTTGTAGCAAAGACAGGAATGGAAAATACTAAAAATAGATAAGTCGATGGATATTAAATCAGGTAAAACTACGAGGCTAGATGGAATTCCAGTAGAGATATTAAAGTCTTCAGGAAGACGGAATATCTTTATGTAATGATATATAATGTACGAATCAGTGGAATGGCCTGAAGATTTCATGATGATACCTCTGGTTAAAAAGAAAGCCGCAAAGAAGTGTGGTGAGCATAGAATAATTAGCCTGGTAGGACACGCAGCTAAATTATTTTTGAGCGTGAAGAAGGCTCGAGAAGATAATGGAAGAAAATGTGGCCTAAGGACAATTCGGATTTAGAAGAGGGATGGGAATAAGAGATGCGGTTGGATGTGTAAAAACAAGGGTGAAAGATATATGGGAAAAGTGAGGGGAAAAGGAAGAAATGTGAGTTGTTTCGTTGACCTAATAGTGATTATGTTATTTGGGAAAAAGTGATAGACATCCTATACTATTATACTCATTACCATGCGCATGTCTAGTAATGCTCTGGTTTGATTGAACTCAAATAAATACTCTGTAACAGCTCTACTATTACCTACTCACGATTCTGCTTGATAAAAATAAACTCACATAAATAAACCGACTATATTGAAAAAAATAAAATAAATCCAAATTCCATTGCACTCATAATTGATTTTTTTATATTAAATATTAATTACTCAATTACTTACATCTATGCTGAATCTGAATACTATTTAAATTTACTTAATATAATACTTAATTAAATACCTACAGCAATGAATATACTGGCTACTAACTTATAATTAGCCTTACCTATGTAAAACCATTCGCCAAAAACAATTATAAAATGACAAAATAAAAATTTAATACAAATCAGTTCCTAGGTAAATAACTTTTGATAAAAATAACCTACAATTTAGACATTGGTATTCCTCTCCTTTTGAGATGTGTTTTGTAGTGGAGGATGATTTAGAATATTTAGATTATTCTCAATCTTCGTCTATTAATTCCAATCGCGTAATCCAAATTGAACAACAATTTTCTAGAGCGCATTTCGTACTTTATATAATTTCTGAACTGAAGTCTTTCAATCGCACGTTAAACTGAACTGTAGTTGCTGTTTTGCAAGATACTCAATGATTAATACTTTCCGAACAATTCACTATTCCCGAATGACGAACTTGTTCCTGGTTAAAAGACACGATTTTAAATTAAAACGCGCAACAAATTCTATTTGGTTTGGACCTTTTTAGCGCATTTCCACAAAAATAAAAAAAAAATGCGCTATTGTGGCCACTTTGTCCGTCCGTCCGTCCGTCCGTCCGCAAACTTTGCGACGCTACTAGTTTTTTATCTAAGAGCTATTGTTCTACTTTTTTCGCTATTTGGTTCGTTATGGTGTCGAGTCTTGTACCAAGGAAGGAATTTTTTCTGTACCGCTTACAAAAAAAAGTTATTGTAAAAAAAACAAAAAACCGTTTTTTACATGTTCCATAATTTTACACTTTTGCCGTTTATTAACGATCCTAGAGATCGTTTAGGATCGTTTATAATTTTGCATTGCTATCTGTCGCCTGCCGGTTGGTCTCTCCGTCTGTTCCTTTGTCTGTCTGTCCATCTATCTGTCCGTGTGAACGATAACTTTGTTTAGAAATGTTCGATCGCTTTTACATCTCCGTTAGTTATGAACTGAATTGCATGAAATTCAATATGGGCATAGATTTAGCCATATAATACGCAATGCCAAAAGTTGAATCGAATCGATTCAAAATTCACAGTGCCCTTTTCGCATCTCGACCATTTATAAACCGAATTGCAAACTTTTTTACTTATAAAAGTATTTGAATGAAATTTGATACATAGGCACTTGAAATAAAGGAAAATCAAACGCCAATTTCAAAATTTGGTTTTGCGCATGCGCAGTGCCACCTTTTTTATTTATGGAAGAATTTAAACGAAATTTGATACATAAGCACTTCGAATAAAGGAAAATCAAACGCCAATTTCAAAATTTGGTTTTGCGCATGCGCAGTGCCAACTTTTTTATTTATGGAAGAATTTAAACGAAATTTGATACATAGGCACTTGGGATAAAGGAAAATCAAACGCCAATTTCAAAATTTGGTTTTGCGCATGCGCAGTGCCAACTTTTTTATTTATGGAAGAATTAAAATGAAATTTGATACATAGGCACTTGGGATAAAGGAAAATCAAACGCCAATTTCAAAATTTGGTTTTGCGCATGCGCAGTGCCAACTTTTTTTATCTATGGAAGCATTTAACTGAAATTTGATACTTAGGCGCTTAGAACAAAGGAAAATCTAACATTAGTTTCAAAATTTAGCTTTGCGCATGCGCAGTTCCAACTTTCTTATTTAGAAAAGCATTGAAATGAAATTCTTCTCATAAACTGAAATTGAAGTAGCACGACAAAAATGGATTGCCCATGTGCAACGCTATCTTTCATATTTGTGGCCGGATTTTTACGATTTTATAGAAGTTGCATCTTACAAATGGGAAATGAATGCAAGTGGAAATGCGCTTTATGTAAATCGTTTACGATTACTTTT